TTTTGAGACCCCCCAAAATTTCACAAATCACGTTTTCAGGGGAGCCCATGACTTATTAAGGGGAGCCGAGCTCCCCCTAGCTCCCCCGTAGTTCGCACCCTGTATATATATGTATGTATGTATGTATGTATGTGTGTGTCTATTTGAATATAATAATTTAAATTATTTTGTTCTTGTTTCCTGCCCCTCATACTATATATGTGCATAAACAATGTCTCGTTCTAAATGGTTAATATATGGATTTTGTTTGCAGGCCATAGTGCTGCAGCAGGACACTTTTATCGAGGACCAGCGTCAGGCCCTGAGCGAGCGCACCCCGTCCCGCTCCTCCTCTCGTCCCCCCTCGCTGGTGGAGCAGGAGAAACAGCGCAGCTTGGAGCGGCACCGACAGGAGGCCGCCGCTCTACAGCGCCAGCAGGCCGCCCACGCCGAAGAGAAGCGGCGCAAGGAAAAAGAGTGGGATGTGAAGGAGCAGGAGCTGACGGACCGCGAGGTGCTGCTGCACGTGAAGGAGGAGGAGATGCGCAGGAGGAACAAAGAGCTGGAGGAGGCGCAGCAGGGGCTGCAGGGAAGGAAGGAGGACTATCAGAGGGATCTAGAGAGACTGAGGGATGCTCAGAGGAGGCTGGAGAGGGAGAGGGAGCAGCTGCAGAGGGAGGCGGAGAGAGTGGAGCACCTCCGCGAGGTGGAGGTGAGTCTTCAACTGCACATTGAAGAACATTTTGTGCATTATTTATTACTGTAACTCATTCACAATATTAATTCACTCAGAAGAGAGAGCCGAAGGCCATCATCTTTCTTTATGCAGTATTTTATTGAGTATTCTTCTCTCTTTGGCATTAAGAGCATTCAGACACGTTAGAAATAGTTTGAGACAGGCAAATTTATCAAATGACTGTGTATGACTGAATAAAATGTGATGAATTAAGTAATGTCTAGTTTTAAACTTGACGTACAGATGTTTGACTACTGAAATAGCATCTTGTTCACATTTTATTGTGAGATTAAAAACTTGCATGCTAGAAAATATCACAAATTAGGGATGCAGAATACATTGGTACTGTATCAGTTATTGGACAATATTAGAGTTTTTTTTTTTTACTTTAGAAACACTGATAATAGCACTGTTATATGTAATCATTAGCAAATTTCTAAATACATATCCATTTTTCTTACCATGCATTTTGATGCGGACTAATAAATAATACATACATATATATATATATATGTATTATTTATTAAACATTATGTTTGTTTATAAACATAATGCTTATGTTCAGCAAAGCTGCATTTATTTGATCAAAAATACTGTAAAAACAGTACAATTGTGAAATATTACTACAAATTAAAATATCTGTTATCTATTTTAATGTTTTAAAATTGAATTTATTCCTGTGATGCATTCCTGCATTTTCAGCATCATTAATCCAGTCTTCAGAGTCACATGATCCTTCACACATGATTCTTTTTTGTTACATGGAAAATAACAGCATTAATATGAAATAGACATATTTTTGTGAAAATGTGAAAGTCTTTACTGTCATTTTTGATCAATTTATTGGCTTTTTGCTGATTAAAATAATGAATTTATTCTACAAAAAAAAAACTTACTGCCCCCAATTGTATATAATATTGTTTAAAATTTTAGTCAAAATAGTATAGAAATTTAATATTGCCCATTTATATATTTTCTGCCATAACATGGATAATAATAATTATTGGCTTATCAATATCTGCCCAAATTTTTATATTCCGTTACATATACGTTCTTCAAATAATAGTTTTGAATATTAATGTATAATATAATTAATGACAAGTTCCAAGCATACAGAACATGAATGTGTTTTGCACCTCAACGTAACCTTTTTTTTTTCTTTGAATTTCTTCCACAGGCTCGGCTTCAGCGCACACCCTCCAGCACATCAGAGGACTCCCTGAAGCTCCAGAGCAGCAGCTCCATCGAGCGAGAGATCTTGGAGGGCGAGTTATTGTCCAGCCCCAGGAAGAACTCTCTGTCCAGAATGGACTCCAAACAGAAGGGCCGCAGCCTCTTCTCCCTGGGCGGCAAAACTCAGAGCTTAGAAGGACAACACCAGCTCCCCACACGACTGCTTCAGCTGGCTTCATCCAAGGAGAAGAAGGACAAAAAGAAGAAGAAGAGCAAGAGCCAGCCTCCTCAGGATGCAGGTGAACACAGTGAACACACACATGTTAATTCAATAGAGATAATGATAAAGAATTGATTCAGTTAGCCTGCAAACCACAACCATCGTATCCGTTCTAACTGGAATTGGTGGTAAGTTCTCTGTCGCAGAACGTCATATGTTTCCAGAAGGAAGGGGTTTGCTTTTGAAGGTCTAATAGGATTTTTGATCTGAGTCGTGTGTTATGTATCAATCTCAGATGTTTATTACACTGAGAAAGATGTCTGTATTTCCTCCTCAAATCTTGCTGTATTTTGTCTCCAGCATCACATCTGCTGCCCCTGACAGAGCCTTCAATGGACGGGGAGCTCTTCTTCTGCTGATTTACCCATCATCCCTTCGGTCCACATCATTCCCTTTCATGGACTCTCTATCAAATCATGTAGGAAGTCACCCAAAGTGCCCTCTTCACATTTTGGCAATCTTTCTACAATATAATAAATCTCACAGACACAGAACATGTCCAGGTTGCATTACACCCCAAAATCAAAAGAAAAATGAAAAATTCTATTTTGCCTAACCCAAATCAATACTATTCTAGAATTGTTTTTATTTTTTGTGACATTATTTTAATAACAATTTAGCCCCCAAATTTTCATTGCCGTAATGTATAAATAATTGATTCAGTTAGCCTGCAAACCACAACCATCGTATCCGTTCTGACTGGAATTGGTGGTAAGTTCTCTGTCGCAGAACGTCATATGTTTCCAGAAGGAAGGGGTTTGCTTTTGAAGGTCTAATAGGATTTTTGATCTGAGTCGTGTGTTATGTATCAATCTCAGATGTTTATTACACTGAGAAAGATGTCTGTATTTCCTCCTCAAATCTTGCTGTTTTTTGTCTCCAGCATCACATCTGCTGCCCCTGACAGAGCCTTCAATGGATGGGGAGCTCTTCTTCTGCTGATTTACCCATCATCCCTTCGGTCCACATCATTCCCTTTCATGGACTCTCTATCAAATCATGTAGGAAGTCACCCAAAGTGCCCTCTTCACATTTTGGCAATCTTTCTACAATATAATAAATCTCACAGACACAGAACATGTCCAGGTTGCATTACACCCCAAAATCAAAAGAAAAATTAAAAATTCTATTTTGCCTAACCCAAATCAATACTATTCTAGAATTGTTTTTATTTTTTGTGACATTATTTTAATAACAATTTAGCCCCCAAATTTTCATTGCCGTAATGTATAAATAGTAGTAATATATTATTTCAATTGTAAAGTATTTATATACTACGGTAAATGTTTTTCTGCTTTTAAATAGTGTTTTATTACAGTAGTTTTTGCTGTAATAAAGTTTTCTCCATCACAGTAATGAGAATAACCATTGGGAATAATAATTAGTGATTATTATAAAAAAATTAAAAACTCATGTTGCATAATGGTAATGTGAATATATATATATATATATATTCCCATTACCATTATGCATCATGATTTTTTTCCCCAGACAACATATCGCTACAAAATAAAATCTTATATTTGCACTTGCTTTCAAATGTTTATCAGACAAATCCCATCTTTGAATACTTGTTAAAATGTGCATTGTATATAAATTTCAATTACTGCCCTCATTTACAAATGAACTGTGCCACCAAAAACTTTCAAAATACAAAACTGGGGATTGTTGCTCCCCCTACTGGCCAACTTTTTTAGGCTGAAAAATCATTTTGGCTTATTGCGCACGAGAATGACTATTTACAATTTAATCACGGTTTTAACATTTAAACGGATTCGGGGAGAGAGGTGGTTTTCCGTTTCCCCCATGTTTTCTACTTTAGCTTCTCGAAGGAGTCCCGTCTTTGAAATGCCACCGAGCACTTTAACACCATTCACACGTTACCCTTGCCCCGATAATGACAATCAATTTTTCATTAGCATTCCAAAGATAAAGCCATTGTATAACATACCATGGCATTTCATGCTAGTTTGAGATTCTCTAATCCTTCTGCGTTGAATTCTTCATGACTTTAGCAGGACGGATGAGCTGTAAATACTGTATGAACTGTAGACACCTGAGGGATATTTAAAGCAACCTGCTGGACAGGTAAAAGAGATTATCATCCACGCAGGATAGTGTACCTCACCTATACATCCACCCTTATGGATCAAAAGCACCATATCATATCTAAATATCAATAATAATACAATTAACACCCTGTTTTTGCACTCAAAGTGTCCACCTGTTTCATCACGCGTGAATATTCACCTTGCAATCCTACAGGATTTTGTTCAGCTAGACGTTCTGTTGGCTTGATTTTGAGTTATTTATTGTTCAATGAGAATTTTAATTTTAATTTTTTAAAGCAGTACATGCTCTTAAAGTCTCATTTGTGCAGGTTTGCGTTGCAGCTTTCACCTGCGCTGACTTGATTCCGCCATGAGGGAGCAGTAGAGAAGCATTTTATAATTGAAGGCTCCTCTGTGGTTTTACATAACCTCTCAGTGATGTCAGAGGAGACACAGTGATGCAGGTGCAGGAATTATTATTTCTTCACATGCACAAAGGGAATCATTGGTTCGTCATTTAAGGAAACCGGTGCCTATGGCCTTACAGAACTGTCAGCGACACATGTCCTCAGGAACAAACAAGGAAAACTCAATCCAGTTGGTATACGCATTGTTGCCATCTCTCATGCGTAAATGTAAACTTAAGTTGCTTAGCCTTAAAGAAATGATGGTGTGCACTAAAATATAACCCAGCATTTTCTCAGGAGTATAGGTTCGTTTTATCATCTTTGTTTTGAAAGTAAGGTTTCATTTGTACATTGAGGTACATACGTTTTCTTGCTTAAAAAAGGAAGAATTAATATTATGTAAATATTTTGTGTAACATGTTTAAATGTAAAATTCTGAAAATGTTGTTTAATTTGTGATTTTGTAAAATGTGTTTTGTGAGACGTAAGGCTTTATTTATCAGTGATCCCCTTATTTCCTCACATTAAAAGCTGTTGCAATTTTTTTTGGCTTGTATTGTTTTCTCTCTCTCTCTCTCTCTCTCTTGTTTTTATTCTGTCCATTGAACTGCAGGTTATTGTATGTTTCATTCAAATTCACTGGATAAACAGATCAAGGCTACCTTTTCCTTTTAAAAAGATTAAAGCATTTTTAAGAAATTGCCACTGTAGAATCAAGTATAAGCAGAACCTTTGATCTGTCATCTTCATGCAGTCTGCAATATGACTCCACTATAACCTCTAACTGATGGACAGAGATTAGATATGAGTTGGGTCATTTCTACTTTTCATGTCCCTCATCATCACGTGTCTTAATATACTGGAAAAAATATTAAACTCAATTTCAAAATTCTTAAAGGGGTCATATGTTGCTAAAAAGAACATTATTTTGTGTATTTGGTGTAATGAAATGTGTTTATGCGGTTTAAGGTAAAAAAAAAAAACACATTATTTTACATACTGTACATTATTGTTTCTCCTCTCTATGCCCTGCTTCTGAAACGGTGCGTTGTGATTGGCCGAATACCTCAAGCGTGTGACGGAAATGTTACGCCCCTTACCATATTGTGATGATGCCCTGTCACGCCGGAGCGATGATTCAAAAACATGAAAACCCATTTTCATGTTCAGACCAAAATTTTTGAATATAAAGCACACATCAAAAGTTCCATAGTGACATCATCATCCATGATCCAACAATCTCATTTGTAAGTCGCTTTTAATAAAAGCATCTGCTAAATGTAAATGTAATAATCCTGGAAATGACTTCATTTTGGAGGGAAAACAACAGCACAAACATAGGCGAGTATTGGATTTGTTGAGTTCTGTGGCAAGAGCTGCTAACTAGCAGAAGACACTAACCAGTTTTAAATTCCAGTTGCGCAGATGGGGAACGTTGATAACACTGCGTTACAATGTGCCCCGCAATAATTAAACTATGCTATTCTGTGACATTAGCGATGTAACGCTATTTACTTTAACGAATTTTATAGAGAAACCACAAGAAACAGATGAATAAAGACTGACAGTCAATGTTTAATGTCCAGACATTATTATTTCAAGAAATGTATAGCATTTCGACTCGTTTATGTTGGCCATCCCAAGCATGGTTGCAATGTGTTCAACTCCAAAATCAGATTATTTTTAACTCTTAAAAACGCCAATATTTTATTTGGAAAAGTTCATTTGATTTTATTGACAAAGTATTTTAGTTTTTCTTGTATATTTTTTTGTCATTAGATCAGACAACATTTTAAGCTGTCATATGGTCATGTTACAAGGTGACCCTCAGTTCCCTTGCTGTCTATGCAGGGTCAGAAAGCTCTCGGATTTCATCAATATCTTAATTTGTGTTCCGAAGATGAACGAAGGTCTTACGGGTTTGGAACGACATGAGGGTGAATAATTAATGACAGAATTTTCGTTTTTGGGTGAACTATCCCTTTAAGGTAAGTTCATACGAATTTACGAATGAGACTTGTTTAAAAATCTTCCCTGTCTACTGACATTTGTTATAACATCCGCTTTGAGTATTACAATGCACACGATAACTTTCGTTAACTGTACAATAAGTAAATCCACTTCTCCAGCCAATTCAACAGTGGTGCTAAAATAGCGCTACCGCGCAAACGGAAGTTCAAAGACAAAACTCTAAAAATGGCAGCACACTTGTTCCTCTGACGCAAAAGGTCTATACAGTTATTCTTGTTTTGCGAAGAAATTGTACAGAAAAAGTATAATGCTATCTTGCCATTGTTTCATAAGTGTGTTTTGCTAGTGTTATGGAAGAATGACTTGATTTGAGACCTGTATTAAGTGTTTTGGTAGTTTAAGTGCATTTTGGATGTGAAATTTACTGCTGTGTCAAGCTGAATGTTGGAGACTGCTCGAAGAGTTTTGATAAATGACCTTAATATTGAGAAATGTGTCCTTGCGATTGTAAAAAAAAAAAAAATTAATGAAGCAGTTAGGGCTGAAACGATTCCTCGAATACCTTGAGTAACTCGAATACAAAAAAATCATCGAGGCAAATTATTGTCTTCGAGGCTTCGTTTAGTCCATTTACTGTAACTACACACGGAACACCGTGTTTCCCCACGGACAATTATTACTGACGCACAACCCGATAAACGCTGGACCAGACCATAGACTGTATAAAAACTGGGACCAGCCTTTTAAAAAAAAAGTGCTGAACATATTTAAGACCGTAAATCAATATGTTGACTAGTTATAATGTCCCTACATTAGCTATGTTTTGTGAAAGACTAAACGCCATTGTGCATAAAA